AGGCAAACAAGGACTTTTTTTTTTTTTTTTTTTTTTAAAAGATGACCGGTAAGGGGATCTTAACCCTTGACTTGGTGTTGTCAGCACCACGCTCACCCGGTGAGCGAACCGGCCATCCCTATGTGGGATCCGAACCCGCGGCCTTGGTGTTATCAGCACCGCACTCTCCCAAGTGAGCCACGGGCCGGCCCGGCAAACAAGGACTTTGAGGGCAACGTTTCCAGAGAGGTGCCCTGTGGAACCTCAGCATTTGCTGCCCTGCACTGCCTTGGGACTCTGCTCCCCGAATTCCAGTGCAGCACCCCTTGGCTGCCCCAGCAGTGCATCAAGCAGACCCAGGTGCATCTCAACCCACTGCTCCAGAAGGTACAAGCTGCACACCTTGGCAGCGTCCACATGATGCTAACTCTTCAGGCATGTAGAATGCAAGAGCTGGGGGGCCGTGGTGGCCTCCAACTAGATTTTAATAGATACTGCAGACAGGCAGGGCCCCAGCAGAGAATTGTCTCAGGGGTGGAGTAACCAGAGAGAGCCCCCACTGGGGCAATACCTAGTGAAGCCGTAGGAGTCAGTCAGCCCTTGAGACCACAGAACTGCAGGGCCATCAGCTCGCAGCTCCAGTCTGGGAATGCTGCAGGCACAATCCAATCTGTGAGAGCTGCTAGGTGGACTGAGCCTAGTGAAGCCACAGAGGCAGAGCTGCCTGAGGCCTTGGGGGCCCAACCCCTGCCCAGTGGCCCAGGATGCAGGACACGAAATCAAAGGAGAGAAAGGAGATTATTCTCCAGCTTTAAGACTTAATGTTATTTTCCCTGTTGGGTTTAGACTTACTTGGGACCAGTTACCCCTCTTTTCTTATCGATTTCTCTCTTTTGGAATGAAAATATCTTTCCTATGCCGGTCCCACCACTGTATTTTGGAAGTGGATAACTTGTTTGATTTTATGGCGTCACAGCGAGAGGGGGAATTTGCCTGAGGATGACTTGTGCCTTGAGTTTGACCAAAATCTGATTCAGATGAGACTCTGGACTGTGAACTCTGGGGTTGATGCTGGCATAAGTTAAGACTTTTGGACTACTGGATGGAATGAATATATTGTGTATGTGAGAAGGACATAAATTTGGGGGCCCAGGGCTTGAAATACCATGGTTTAAATGTGTCCCCCTGGGCCGGCCAGTTAGCTCAGTTGGTTAGAGCATGGTGTTATAACACCAAGGTCAAGGGTTCAGATCCCTTGACCAACCAGCCGCCAAAGAAAAAAAATTATGTAAATGTGTCCCCCAAAAAGCATGCGCTGGAAACTTAATCCCTAATGCAACAGTGTTGGGAGGTGGGGCCTAATGGAGGCATTTAGGTCAAGAGGCTCTGCCCACAAGAATGGATTAGTGGCATCATAAAAGGGCCTGCGGCTGTGAGCTCGTCTCTCCCCCTCCCCCGCCCCCGCCCCCTTCTCTCTCCCTCATGCTGGCTCTCACGCTCACGCTCCTGTCCCTCCTCCGCTGCGGGATGACACAGCAGGAAGGCCCTCTCCACATGCCGGCCTCCGGATACTGGACTGCCCAGCCTCCAGAACTATGAGAAATAAATTTATTTTCTGTATAAATTACCCAGTCTGTGGCACTCTGTTATAGCAACACAAAATGAACTAAGACCCCTGGGGTCCTCGGCTGTAAGAGGATGTTAAAGGGCCCCAGGCGGAGGGCGGTGAGAGCACGACAGGCAGGGGTGCTCGCAAGGACCTGGACAGCAGCAGAAACGCAGACCCCTCTCTCCAAAACAGCGTTCACCTGTCGCTGTTCATCTCCACGGGCACTGTCTTCACATGACCTCTGGGGCACTGTAGGGACAGCACTATTTGATAGGTGACAAAGCAGAGGAAGAGGCTCCAAGGCCATCTCGAGCACCTGTCATCATTCACTTCTGAGCAGGGACCCAAGCCCAGGGTCCAGGACAGGAGGGCCTATGGGTAAGTGGGGGCTGCAGACACCGGGAAGTGAGGACTGTGATGCCTGAAACATAGACAGGGGGTTCAGGCTGGAGGCCCTGGGAAGCAGGAGGCTGCTTCAGGAAAAACACAGCACCCTCGGGCCCTCCACCGGTCACCAAGCCCATCCTTGTCCCCACACCCTCTGACCCCATCCCTGGACCAACCTGAAGGGCTTGAGAGGGAGGTTTCTTGAGCCAGGGTGCCCCAGTCAAGCCCAACCCTCCTGCAGCCTCAGTTTCCTTGTCTTTAAGTGGGCCCAAATCTTCTGACACCTAGGAGAGAGGGCCACCACCCAAATGTGGGTCCACCGTGAAGCGTACTTGGTCAGGAAATCACAGTCACAGTAACAGTAGCAGCATCATATTTCCATCCACAGCCTGGAAGGACAGCTTCTCGCCCAACGAGCCTTTCTCCAAAGATACAAGGCAGAACGAAAGGGTGACAGCAGCAAGGCCCCGCAACTGCCCACCTCCCCCACGCCAGGGCTCAATCTATCCTTGCCACAATGCTCAGAGGGAGGAGCTACTGTTTAACCAACTGACAGGTGGGGAAGCCGAGGCCGGGGAGACGCGGTAAGAGACAAGTGGCACAACAGGAACATAAACTGACTCTGCTGGACTCCAGAGCCTGAGCTTGCTTCTACCCAGGACAGTCCCAGAGGCAGCTCAGAACCCGCCAGCCCGCCCTCCCCAGCATATCACATGCCTTTGTTAATGCATCCATCACACTATGACTGCTCACAGGCCACTCTGCCTCTGAGACTGAGTGAGGCGTGTGGCAGAGTGGCCACACGGACATGTATTTAAACAAAACGATGCTAGCAAGAAAACCTACATTTTAGGAGCAAGTAGGCAGGCCAAAACCTCTGTGTTGCATAAGTAACTCAACTAACAATAGGAAACACCCTCGAGAATTCCTTTCTAGCAAAGAATTCATTGTTCAACTCTCTCCATTGCTCTTAGCAGCCAGGACTCGGGGAGATCCAGCCAGGGAGACAGCTGGAAGGAAGCACCTTCCGGATTCCCCGGATTCACTCCGTCTTCCTGCCACTGCCTTTGCCCAAGTTCCTGAAAGCAGAAAGCGGTGCCGGCTCGCAGCTGTCTGGAAGCAGGCTGTTCTCCAAGTGCACTGCAGCGTCACGATGCTGCCACAGGCTGCACGCTCGGGGAGCTGCTCCTGAGCGGGCTCAGCAAACCCACTCTGTGAAAGGCCAGGTCGTAAATATTTTTGGCTTGGTGGACCGTACAGCCTCTGTACAACTTCCCAGCTCTGCTGTCGTGCAACATGGGCATAGCTGTGTGCCAGTAAAACATTGTTTACAAGAACAGGTGGAAACAGGCGGCCCTGGGTGGGGTCTGGCCCGTGGGCTGTCGCTGACCATCCCCTAACCTGGGAATAAGTGGCTGGTGGAACGAGAACCCTCCACCAGGTCCCAGTGTGCACTAACCCACCACCGGGGGGTCGGGTGGACCAGCAGGAACCTCAGCCCCTTGCAAAGCACGCGGGTCCTACTTTTGGCAGCCTGAGCATCACATGCTCGTGTGCGGGCCTTGCCACCCCCCAAGTCCTCTTAGGGAAAGGTGAGGGACAAGGCAGGGCCCATGTCCAAGTTCCCAGGGCCAGAAGAATCCTGGAGAAGCCAGGAAGGAGGGCACAACCCATGGGGGTACTGGGAGGAGAGCCAGCTCTGGAGAGCCACTGACCACCGGGGGGTCGGGCGGACCAGCAGGAACCTCAGCCCCTTGCAAAGCACGCGGGTCCTACTTTTGGCAGCCTGAGCATCACATGCTCGTGTGCGGGCCTTGCCACCCCCCAAGTCCTCTTAGGGAAAGGTGAGGGACAAGGCAGGGCCCATGTCCAAGTTCCCAGGGCCAGAAGAATCCTGGTGACGAAACCCAGGATTCTTGCTCTTGCTCCTCTTGGGCCAGCTTCTCCCCCATCCCATGTCCCCCGTAAGATGGAGAAGCCAGGAAGGAGGGCACAACCCATGGGGGTACTGGGAGGAGAGCCAGCTCTGGAGAGCCACTGACAGAAGGCCCTGGACATAGGGCCGGCCCATGGTTCACTTTGGAGAGTGCGGTGCTGATAACACCAAGGCCACGGGTTCGGATCCCATATAGGGATGGCCGGTTCGCTCACTGCCTGAGCGTGGTACTGACAACACCAAGTCAAGGGTTAAGATCCCCTTACCGGTCATCTTTAAAAAAAAAAAAAAGAAGAAGGCAGCGGCCTTGGGCACAGCTGATGGCAGCCAGCCAGCCCCCAGGTTTCAGAGTTACCCCTTACATTCCAGTGACAAACCAACCACAGGGCGAAGGAGACCTCATGAAACCCATGAAACTCAGAGTCAGCCCTGAGCATGGCCTCCCACCTGGACCACCCCAGTCCATCCTCTCAGGAAACTCTCTGACCCCCGTTCCACATCCGCACAGAACTCCCGCTGGACAAGGCTGGATCTGATGCCTCTGTGGGCTGGGACAGCCAACAGAGTGAGTTGTGTCCCCAGGACCCAGCACCTGGCCTGGCACTAAATGAATGGGTGTGCCAGGTGGATTTCCTCGTCCTGGGCAAATCAGAACCACAGCAAACACATGTGGTTGTAACATCCCCGCAGGTGAAAAGAGCCTTTGTGTGCCTCCAGACCACCACTTTCCTTCCAGCAACTTCCATCTTTTTAAATGTGGGCCAGCTGAGGCCACAGCCTCTCATCAGGCCTACAGGACTCTCATGGAGACCAAGCCCTGGGATGTCTACAAGCCCAGGCCAGGGCTGTCCAGCCCACTGCAGCAGTGCACAATGGGGAGCAGGTGGAAGCCGCACCTCCCGGTGAGCCAAGGCAGGACCACAGCCCGGCCCGTGGCCACTCCCCAGCCCTTGGTTTATGCCCCTGCTGCAACACTTAAGGCCCAGTGAACAAAAGAAAATATTAAAAGAGCAAGATCAGAATCCCTGGAGGTCCACTTGGCACCTGTCACCCAGGCAAGGCACCTCCTGCTCCAGTGCATCCAACAGCTCAGCTGTGCAGGAGGGCGAGGGGCTCTGGCAGGAGCGGGATGAGCGGCGTGGAAGTGCTCACCATGCAGAGCCTGCTGCGGCCTGGGCCCAGCAGGAGGAAGAGCAGCCGGGCAGAGTCCTGTTGCCAGAACACACCAGAAAGGAAACAGCGGGACAGACGAGGCCGCAGTGGGCACCCTGACCGATGGTGCTGCAAGAGCGCGGACAGCCAGGCACGGAGGCGGACTACTGGGAGGCTGCAGCCCAGGCACAGCAGAGAGGGCAGTGGCTGGACCTGGATGTGGGTGCAGGAGGTAGAGACTGAGCTAGGCGGGCAGATGGGATTCACCCGGGGAGAGCAGGACAGGGAATGGTCTAGGATAAGCCACCCCCACCGCATTCTTTTATAAACAGCCACCCTTCAGCGAGGACCTGCACCTGCCCCACGCTCCCCACGCCTCACCTCATTTCATCCTCACGCACCAGCCTGCAGGAGGCT